GTGGAGATCCTAATACTCATGTGTAATTGTGTTTATCTTTTGACCTTACAGATGTTAATTCTACAAGAAAGTCTTTTATTTTAACTTCAATATAAGATGAAGATATTAGTATTAAAAATACGGTATATACTTTCGCTTACAAAGTATTGAATATTTTTATATTTTTTAGTGTTGACTTATTGACTTTAGAATTTAAATCAATATGGATCTTTCAATTGGTTGATAAAATATTAAAAGACAAAGTATCTATGCTATCATTAGAAAGAATTCAAGCAGTAATAAAGTCTTTAATATAAGAAAATTTGGCTTAGTTATAAGAAAAATTTAGAATTAAAGCTTTTACCATATTTGATAAAGGTCACTTAAAGGCAATATAAATCCTTGAGTTGAGGTGCCATTGGCTACAAAGATAGCATTTTTATCTAATGTTGTAGCTAAATCTACTTAAAAACATCAAAATTTGCACCTATGAGTTGTATAATTAATTAACAACAATAACGTGGTTGTTATTAGCTCTACTAGTGGCAATACCATTTATGCTACATTTCGCATGTTATCCTGGATTTTGACACTTAGCTAGTTATGATTGATAAGCGGCTTGCTCAAGAATTAGGTTTCACTCCTATAGACTTAAAATCTTGTGTTTTCATGATTTTCACTTTAATAGGAGGCACAAAGCGAGCTATTCGCTATACCAAACAATCTTTGCAATTAATATTTTATATTAGATCTGGTCCACTTTATTCACACTTGTTTTTAAAGTATTTAGTAATTAGTGCCATCAACTATGATATTTTAATGGATCACCAAGCCATTTATCTATTTGATTTTCGGCTAGATAATTAGATTGAAAAAGCATATATTTGACCGAGATGGTCTACTAATGATAGAAAAAAAAGAATTTATTCTAATCACATTTTTAGTAATTGCTATAATTATGTCAATACAAATTTTATTTAGTTATAGTACATTGGCATCTCCTTTGCCTTATAAAATGATTCTATTAAAAGAAAATTTAACATTTATATTCCATTCTATAAGATCAATTAATCCACCATTTTTAGAAGTTTATACAAAATACTAAAAATAATCCATCTGCTCCTTGAAAAACATGTTCATAATTTTTTTGTCAATGTAAAAAGATTGTATCTTCATTGGATATATTGAAAATACCAAAATTTTTTCTTTTACCTACATTGGCCTAATCTATTCATTGGCATCTACTAAATGAAGGTATTACCCTTCTAGAGCTCTTTGTAGGTATTAATATAAGTTTAGCAATAGAATTAAAAATTTGGCTTATAGTTTGATGGTATATTCATGTAGATACTAAAATTATACCTAATTAAAAAACTCAATATCATTTTTAAAGATTTTTGGATATGTATTCTAAAAAACTACAACCTCTTGCCATTCTTAGTTTTTTTAGTCAATTTCTTCTTGATTTTACCTTCATTAGTGATGAAGATTTGAAGATATTAAGCAACATAGACTTATTGATTATTGGATGGCTTTATCAAGGTCATTCTTGTAATGGAGCAAGTCAAGGATTAGATGATCATTGATTCAATTTATTTACAAATTTGATATAGCTCTCATAATGGTCGTTTACATATCAAATCACACCTTCTAGATACATTTATAAAAATGTACTATTATTCTAGGAGATTTGAATACTAGTATTGGAGTCTTATTAATATATTAATAAATTTCTTAGTCTTTCAACTTATACAAATGTTGCAGCTTTAAACTCCTATGCCTATCGACTTTGTTTAATTTAGACTAATTTGAAATTATTTTACATGCATACAAAAGTTTTTTCTAGAATTAAACGACCTTTTGGACACCATGTTGATGATATCTTGGATGATAATTAAATTTCTTTGATTGTTACTAAGGCTAATGAATTTCTTCTTGCCTTGGTTAATAAGCTGGAACCACCTTGTCGTGCATTTCTTACATTTGTAATATTTTCAATATCATTTGTATTTCAAGCACATAGACTTGATATAGTTTAAAATGTCAATTTATAAACCTATGAAGAACCTAATGTCAATAAAAGAGAACATACCATAGGCTTTTTAACTAGTACGACAATTGCTTATGATCTTACTAAAAGACAACATTATTTATTCTTAAGTTAGGCTCTGGTCCTCAAAACTTTAATATGGATTTTTGGCATATGTATTATTATTCAAAAGCATCTTTATGACCATATTAGTACTCTAAAGTCAAAGTATAATGGTCAAATGGTAGTTGATCCTGAATTTATTAAAGTTGAGGAATCCAAGTCATTTTTTTGCTTACAAAGACATACAATTGATGAACTACAAGCTAAATATGTCTTTGTAGTTTTAGCTAAAGACTTAGAGAAAACAAATGCTTAAGAGACTCTCTCACGAGATTTATTTTTGAAAGATACTCCATGTTCTACCAACATTTCTAATATTTATAAATATTATGGTAATGAAATCCTTCATTTAGTTAGAGTGAGGATGTTGAGGACATAGGAGTTATTTCTTCAACAAATTAGCAGTTAAAGGCTGTGTTAGTATATAATAGTATTCCATTAGTGATAGAAGAGACCACACAGTTTGATCATTGGCCATTGGAATTAGGGCCATATCTTACAGATGTCAAAGTATGAAGGATACGAGCTTTTATCTGCTTATATTGTAATTGTTTTGCTTTTAGTCTTGAAGATCTTAAAGATTATAAAGACAATCCTATTCACATCAAATTGAAAAATGATCATTCAATCATTTGATGACCTTACAAGCTTAATGCCTCAAAAAAAGCTAGTATCTAAGCTCATTGTCAAGAATTATTGGTTGCAAGCTTGATTGAACTTTCCAATAGTGAATATGCTTGTGCTATAGTCATACTTGCAATAAAGGATATTTTTGGCAATTAGATAGAGAAGCAAATGTATAGAGACTACTATTTAATTAATTGTAAGACTAAATTTCATCAATATTTAATACTAATGCTAGAAAAACTATTTGATGTAGTAGGATTTTCCTGAGTATTTAGCACTTTGGATTTAAAATTTGGTTATCACCAATTATTATTACTTGTTGAAGTTTGGATGAAGACAATATTTTAAAAAGTTGATTAGGATAACAAGGATTAATTCTATAATTGGAATTTTTTATATTTAGTTTTAAGAATGCCTTAGTTGAATTTCAATGGATGATGGATCAAGTTTTATCTGGCTTGTCAAATGTTAGATTCTACATTGATGAGGTTATCATTTTTAGTAGTATCTCATAAGATCATGTGAGGCATTTATAAATAATATTTAAGCAATTATGATAACAAAGATTGTACTTATATCATGAAAAGTGTTAATTCTCCATAAATGATTACCATACTTAGATCACATGATTATTCCATGAAGTCTTAGCTTACAACAAAAAAAAGTAGATGCCTTGCAAAAAATCTTAATACCTAGTGATATTTCATGATTTCAGGCTTTCTTAGGATTGACAAACTACTACCAAAGGTTTGTTAAAAACTTTAGCATCATTGCCAAGTCTTTAAGTATTCTCACAAGTAAAAATCAACTATGGACTTAGAATCATACATAAAAATATATATTTAATATATTGAAGTAAAAGTTGGATTTAACTCTAATGTTTCAATGTTTGGATGCCAATAGACCTTTTTAATTATACACAAATTGAAATACAGTAGAATTGGAAGCAGCCTTGACATAGAAGGATGATAATGGATGGAAATATGTTATTGTATTTACTTCTAGAAGTAATAGCAATGTGGAGTAAAAGAAGAAGCTTTGGCAGCAATTTAGGCCATTGCTCACTTTTGAACATACTTGTATAATCAATCATTTATATTGATAATTGACCATCAACCTTTGAAGTAGCTTATTGGCAAGCTTTCAAGATAGGCTTTATTGCTTCAAAAATATGACTTTGACGTTGAGCATCAAGCATGCATTATCAATTTAAATGTAAATTAACTATTACCTATTATGAAAGAAGAGAGTTTCTTTGGAATTTTGAAGCTTTATATACTAAAGCTTTAACAAACTATTATACTATATTTAGAAATCATCCTAAGATAGATGGCCTAACTAAGCACATTGTTCAAATTGTCAAACATAGTTTACATATATATAGATTACTTCATGGCAGCATTGTGATTTAGACTTGATGTTGTCGTGGATTGTGATGGATTTTTATTTCAATAGATAAGTATTTTTAGCATCTTATAGTCCTTATTAGTTTTTATATGGATAAAAGCCAATTTTACCCAACTCAATACGTAAGAAGCTAATTCTAATTATGCCAAGAGCATTCAAAGAATTATGCTCCTTGTCATCTTCTTATTGCTAACTCTATACATTTTGAATTGGTAGTTGTATCAATTGGTCTTCCTTGTTTTATATGTGGTGAAAATAAAGAAACTTCTATTATGCTTTTGTGTGATCAAGGCTAACGTGGGTAATATATGACATACTTGACACTACTTTTTTCGATTTTCCTTTCAGGAGATTAGATTTGCCCTTGTTATAAGAAGACTTCTAGTCATGCTTCATCTCTTGATAAAGATTGAAGAGTTCTTCTATTGTGTTTGTCACACACCTTAGTGATCTAGTTGCTACAACACTAGTTTGGAGGAATACAATTCAACATTCACATCAATATCATTGAACAACATTCAAATCTTATGAAAAGTGTCAAGAATGCCTAAACTCCTTGCAAATTTTGAATTCAAATGCTCGGAACTTCCATGCAAATAGTTTCCAACCGACATTAAATGATATCCAAACCCAAATTTGTTTATTACTTCTCGCATCACATTTGATGTGCTAAAAGAAAAAGAAAAGAAGGGAGCACGGAATAAGGAAAAGATAGACGAGAAAAAGAAAAGACGACGACGACGACGACGATCGTCGTCACTGTCGGTGTAGAAAGCTGCGTCCCATCGACGACGGCCGCAGCTTTGATTGCAGGAGAAACAATTTGCTCGGTGCTTCACAGCTTTGCGTGAAACCTCTCCACCTCGGTCTGAACGTGAGCTCGGCTGATGTCTGAGACCTTCGTGCAGCCCGCGAGCGCCATGGCCAACTCAAATTCGTCTCGTAGCATCTGCAGGACCTTCTCGACTCCTTGCTGGCCGTCGCATGCGAGCCCAAATACTACGGGCCTTCCAATCTGTGCAAGCGAAAAACAATCAGAGAAAGAGCTGGAGGGGCGCGATTCAAGACTGGAATCCTACTCCCATGCCGTGAAATTCTTTACTGGAGAAGGTGGAATTTGGATTAGGGTTACTCACGAAAACGCCAGATGCGCCGAGAGCGAGCGCCTTGAGTACGTCGGTCCCGCGACGCACGCCTCCGTCCAGAAACACGGGTAATCTACCGGCTGCGGCTTGCACGACCTGGCACACAATGGATGGAAAGCTGGGAACACATTCTGCAGGTTTTTGCGTAGTGGATATAGAATTTTTCTTGCGAGAAATGGGTTTGAGTGCTGCACATGAATGAACTGATGGTGAGTGAGTGAGTGAGTGAGTGAGTAACCTCCTCAAGAGCTGAGATCGTTGCCGAGACGTGATCGAGCTGTCTGGCTCCGTGATTTGACACTATGATGCCGGCTGCGCCGTTTTGAATTGCAAGCTTGGCTGTGGACATCACCAACGAGCCATGGATGAGTCAGTAAGAGGCGTCACTACACAATGAAAGCGTCCTTGCATTGGAGGATAGTTGATTGCAAATATTCTGCGGAAGAGTTAGCTTGCGGAGAGGACACGTACTGTCTTCGGCGGTGATGACTCCCTTGACGAGGATAGGGAGCTCGGTGATCGATTGCAACCATTTCACGTCCTGCGAAAGAACGAGAAAAGCATTTTCAGAGAAGAAGAAAACACTGCTTTATTTCTTTTTGCATAATATGCAATGCCGTTGATAAGGGATAGCATGTTGAGCTACGCACCTTCCAGCTCAGAGACCTGTCGATTTGACCGGCGACGTAGGAAGCCAATCCGGAATCCTGGGTCTGTGTGATTGCAATACAAACCCACCGCATACAGAGGTAAGTGCGTGTGGTGGCGAGAAGTCAGAGGCTGTAACATTCGAGAAACGTCAGAAGAAAGGTCCACACGTTGCAGTAAGAAGAGAGGAGATGGCAAATAGGCATCGATCCAAATGATCCTACCTTGTCCATCTGTCCAAGGTCCAGCCCCTCAAAGTTGGCGAGGGTGAGGTGTTTCGGCAAGGCGAATCTGCAGGATGATGGGAAAGATGTTGGAGGCATAATGCCCTTAAGTGATCGTGCTGAGAAATCAGAATTGAGAGTTTTTCTATACACGAATTTTGATTGCTGTATGAGGGCAATGCATGGCGAGGGTGAGTGCATGACAATACCTGTTCTTGATGTCAGACTCTCGGCGTCCGAGACGAGGAGTGTCGACTGTGAGCGCTATGGCATTGAAGCCCGCCCTCTCGGCACGGCGCACAAGCTGGGCCACAACATTCCTGTCCTTGTAGACGTAGAGCTGGAAGAAGCGGATGCCGGGGCCGACGGAGGCAACCTCTTCCACGCTGCTGGTAGACCATGAGGAGAGCGTCTGCAACAAGTTAACAAATCCATCACTAAATTCGTAAGCACGTTTTTTCTTCTTCGTTGCCTCGGTTTTCTTCGTTTGTTTGTTTGTTTTTGTGCCTGTTTTCTTTTTTCTGGTATCCTTTTTTGGTCCAAAAAAAATCATTAGAAGCGCCATGCAGAATGATTTCTGATTGTACAGATAATCTTACCATGATTGTGCCGGCCTTAGCGGTGGCCCTGGCAGTAGCCAATTCGCCTGCACCTCAATCACATTATCATATTAACTCACAAAATTCGAAGAGAAAGACGTCGTTGATGCAATTCAGAATTTGCAGCGGAGGGGAGAAGAGCAGCTACCGTCGGGGTGAGCCATCCTTTGCATGGCAGTGGGAGCAACCATGATGGGCATAGAGATGTTGAACCCCAAGACATTGGTGCTCAGATCGACTTTGGTGACATCGATAAGAATGCGGGGACGAAATCTGAATGGCACAACAAAAGCGAAACCTTCTCAAATTAGCGAAAGTTCTTCCGTGCCTTCATGCGAATTTTGATTGCTACTCAAGCATTGCAATCGAGGGGGGGGGGGGGGAGAGAGAGAGCGAGAGAGAGAGAGAGAGAGAGAGAGCATGCAAGTGAATTGCAACTCACCTGATGCGCTCGAAAGCGCTACGATTCTCCTTCAAAGTCCATTGGTCCTCAGCGCCGGAGGCGTAATAATCGTACACCATCTTTGGCAGCTTCTGTCGCGCTAGTTCCTCATACTCGGACACGTTCACGATCTCGGTAGACGGCATCGTGAGGGACGGAAGTAGACTCCGACTGTCCGCGTGCAAAGCTAATTCCGCTCAAAAGCTTCACTGTAGTAGAAGCGCTCTAGTGTCTACAGTATTACCGTAATTGCTCCTCGCTGTGACCGCGACTCTGCGTCACACAGAACCTGACAGTGTCAGAAGCATTCTGCGATACAGATTCCTCATTGATATCGAACTGGGTTTCTCAACAAATACGTGCCAGAACTCAAAATTCCACAAGCACGCACTGTAACACGAACTCCAAACCTCACAGATCGGTTGAAGTGCAGCTAAGAACCTTTCCTGTCAACCGAGACTTGTAGCGTTTGACTGGGAAACAACTAAAACAAGGAAGTGCACTGGAGTCGCTATTATTTTTAATCTTATCGAAGTTTCGTGATTGTTTGATATTGACACGAGGTTGGCGACACCGCTGTCAGCCCCAGCGAGGCACGATAAGACCAGCCCAGAAATCTCGCAAATATTCGGCGCACACGACCGCATTCGTCTCCACCGAACGCACTCATTATCTAACCAAATTGAAACCAGAAACTACACCTCGCTACCCATTCCCTGCATTGCTTGACAGCATCGCCAGACGAACACCCAGCATGGCCATCTCCACACCCACACCGACTCCCCCAGCGCGAACGATCGGCAGAATTTTGCGAAACTCACCAGCATTTGTCGCAACACAACAAACACAATCCACCTCCAAACTCCTAATCCTCGCAATCCTCATGAGAAAGCTTCCGCATCGATCACGAAGACCTCCAAATTACAACCCAAAAAAAAAAAAAAAAAAAAAAAAAGAAAAAGAACTCGACTTGTACACAAAGCAAAACAAAAAAGTATAATCCGCAAAAAGTAGAGAGAGAGATGACCATGCACTTGGAAAACCGTAGCCAGGTCAGCAGTCGGATGGCATGGAGGACCTGGTGAAATCGAAGCAAATCAGTGCTGGAGAAGAATATACAAACGAAAGGGGAATCGAAGCAAGCAAGAGACTGATTGCCCAGCCCTTCATTCAACAAAACGGCCCCTCCTCTTTCTTTCCTTTCCTAAACCCCCTTCTCTTTTGGTGCCTCTCGCTCTCTCTCTCTCTCTCTCTCTCTCTCTCTCTCTCCAAACTGCCTTCGTATTTCGTCGCAGCTTCTGGTTGCTAAATTTTGGGTGGCAGCAGCGGCGTCGCGGCAGACGATCCAGAAGTGTATCGAGCGAGGGAGGGAGGCATCGATGCACACGGGCTCCTCCTCCTCCCCGTCCTCCTCGTGGTCATGGGTACCAGTGTGGGCATGAGTCACCGTCTCATGGGTACAAACCAGTCTGGGTATGGGTGAGCTGCTTCCGTGAATTACTCAGCCCTGCACCCGCCGCACCTGCCGTGGTGGCACCGCCTCGGGATTTGCCTGCATCCAGATTAATTTGATGTATAAATATATACTTACTAATGAAAACTCGTGTCATTGGCCATGAAAAAACATTGTTTTTGTTTGCAGCTTCATATGACATGAAACTCCATGTTGCATGTCATTCCATATTGTGATGCTTGAGAGCTCCACAACTAGTGATCTCGCAATGTTACTCTATGAAATTTGCAGCAACAGCATGCATATTTTGATCTCTGAATGATCAAAAGTTGAGTTATTGTTCCACTTTTGCTTCACTTTTGATGAAAAAAATAAGATTTATCTCCTTTGGTTTATCACATCGGTTTATCCTCCTCACTAGTTTTACATAAGAGATTCACACACACACTCTTCTTAAAGAACATTATAAAATGATAAAGAAGGATTTGTAGAAGAGGATGACTTTTTATTATTATTATTTTAATCTAATTGGATCATGACACCTATAAGTCCACTTAGAAAGGTTGTAGTCCAAAAGTTTTGTTTATGTCTTTTATTTAGTAAAAAAAAGTTACAAAAATAGTATATAGTGATAAGAAATTATAGAATGGATCAAATTGTTATTTTTAATATTATGCTTTTGTATAAGGTAATTTATACCTTTATTAATATTCATTTATTTATAGATTTATTGAATGAATATTTGGATATTTTAGATATTTCATAATACGAGTTTTCAAATTTTTATATCAATCACTTCTTATGGAGTGCCTAAAGCATATTTCAAGGAACATTGTTGTTTATAATATTATTAAAAAAAATGTCTATTCTAATTTATATTTTCTTCTCCTAATTTTTTTGTTAATTATCTCAAATAGAAAGCCAAACAAGAGAGGTTTTTTTATATTGATCAATTACAAACTTTGAAAGATGTTGCTTCTTGTCTACATTTCTAAGTATAATAATTTCCTATAATCGTTTATTAAATACAAGTCTATTTGTTATACAAAACATAGAGTGATAAGCATAATTTCACCCACTATCTTATATTACTAATGAACATTGTAAGCTTTAAAACAATCTTATTAGACATTCTTTTAAAAAGAATATGAAACAAAACCAGTCTATCTCAAGTATCCTAGACCCTTCTAATCCTTAGCAGCATAAAACCTCATTATAAGGTAGGACAAACTAGACCAGAATAAAATTGAATAAAATTAAATAGAATGATATATGAAAGACAAAACTAAGCAACCGATGTCGTGATGTAATACGACTATATAGTGAAACTATAATCAAAATTAAATTTCTAATTAATATTTAATTATCTTGGTTCAATAATAATTCAAGGTATCTAAACATGGCTTTTATAAAAGCCTCTTGGATTATTTTCTTATCTTAATAGTTAGTAGGTTGAAGAATAATTAGTAATTTTACCTTCTAGCTATAGAGACTCTTTTATTACCTTAGAAAGACCATAAATTAATAAAATCAGATTAAAAGAGGTAAATAATTAATATAGTTGATACTAGGGTTAAGTTGAAGGTAGGATTGGGCTAAAAAATCCTTAGGATATACTAGATTGATACCTCGGGATTGACTGTTTGTGAGACAGGATCAAAATCAGACCTCCGGACTCTAAAATGACCACCTAGGACAAAATAGGGATTCATTCAAAGATTATAGATTAGAATTTGAGAGCTAGATTAGAGCTTATTTCAAAGACATAAAATTGGTTTTGATAGGATTTGGGAGGAGTTAGCAATTGTTGTTGGAAGTCAAGGTTTTTATTAGCAACTTGGGATTTATGCAATGAAATTAGGGCTAGCACTCTCAGCTAGTTCATAAAATTGGTGTTACTTCTATATTCCAAATTTTGATAATGCTTGGATAATTACATTTTCTCAATGTATGTGAGATTTTGTAATAATCTAACAATGCAATTGGGAGATATCTAGATTTTGGTACAAGAACATATCATAAGTTGGCAGTTAGGGGTTGGATAGGATTTCTGTGACATCTGGAGATCTACTAGTCGGATCAAGGCGAAATTTGGCATAGTGTTGATGGACTTGAAGATCAAGGTGCACACCAATTTTGAGTCTAAGTTAATGGTTGGAGAAGGATGAATCACTATTGGAACTTTTGTTTCACATTTCAAGTTGGAACTTTTTAGATTGTTCCTAGATAATGGATCCTACTTAGATAACCGCCTTAAATTCCTTTTAGAAGGTTCTATAGTAGGCTCTACTTAGATAATTGTTCTAAATTCTTTTTAGAATATTCCATAGTAGGTCCTATCTTTTCCACTAATCTAACCTCAATTCTAGAAACTTCTATAACTTTTCAAATATGGTTTTAGTTATCTATTCTTATTTGTTAATAATATAAATATTTTATTTATACCCTGTTATACTTAATCCCTCTCCATTATTACAAAACGCCCTCATTTTGCTCTCAATGATATCTACAAATTGCCTCTTAGCAATGGATGCAATTTAGTCAGAGTTGCCATGTTGCATCATGGATGGGATAACCTTTCTAAAGAATTTTGTACTCAAGTTATGGATGTCCACTTCCACAAAAACGTAGCAATGCTCCAAAATGCTATCTACTTCATATTCTTGTTGGTCATCAATTATAACTGGTGATGGTAGTCGTTGATGTCAATTCGGAAAGCGTTTTGGCTCGGTATGAAATTCCTTCAGTTGCAAAAAATGAAAGATTGGATGGACTTGAATATGTCGTAAAAGCTTGAGAGGATATACAACATCAAAAATCACTAGAAAAATGTAAAAGATTTAAGCCATCGAGGTACCAATTTATGGATTTGGATTGATGTAACAAGTGACGAGTTGGCATTGGAGAGTAACACTTGGTTATCCGTCCACAAGGTCTTATCCGCATACTCTTTCTATCAATTTTGTGCAATAAAGAGGCGGTGTCGTACCTCTTATAAGGCTATTATTGTATTGTGGTTTGGTTGCTATGTAAAAATAATGTGATTATATACTTAATGTATAATTTATTTAGTAAAATGAGCAAATATTATGTGAATCTTATACAAAAAAAGGTTGAAGAAGGATTTTGGTAGCAAAAAGAGTGGTTAGGGCATCCATATGGATGAATGGAGATGGATGATACAAATTCTTATTCCTATTGGTCAAAAATGTTGTCCAATAGAATTCAAGGAGATTGCCCGAGGCCATATTAGAAATTAGAGTTAGTCTTTTAGGAGGATTTGAACATCAAAGGCTAAAATTGACAGTTTAAAAATTTTGTTATGGTTTTGGTGAAATTTTTGAGTTATTTGGAGTTATTATGAAGGAGATATAGGTGCTCAAAGTAGAGGTATTGATTTTGTACCTACTGTCACTCTTTTAAATATAATCCATGCATACAAAAAACAATAGAGGATTAGCGACTAGAATTGAACATAATACTTTTTCAGCAATATTTTATATATACTACTTGATGAATTCTAAGCTGGAACAAAGGAGATATTAGAAGTTGAAGTCAGCACTTGGAATCTAAGGAGTAATAACTAATTCAAATTACTAGTCGTTGTGTTTTGAGTTATATCTTAGGTAATTTGACAAGATTTTGGTTGAAAATCTCTAAAAATGTATATTTTCATGTTACTAAACTTTATACACAAGTTTTGTGGCATTTAAATTTTGAGCTAATGAGATATGATGAAATCAGTATATGAATGTCTGTAAAGGTGATATGTACCAAACCTGCTTTTGAATAGACAACATTTGGAGTTCAGTAATGAATTTATGGTTGATTTTTTGTGTGGTAGAAGTTAAGAGTATTATCTGGCTTTTCAAAAAATTTGAGCTCAATTCAATGGTTGGATGGAAAAAACTGAGTATTGAAGTTCTATAATTTTGAAGGAGGTATTGTTATTGGTTATTGGTTATTGTTACTAGTATTGGTTATCATTATTGGTTATTGATTACTGTTACTACTATCGGTTACTGTTATTGTTTTTGGTGATTGGTTATTGTTTCTGATTATTGGTGACTATTATTGATTATTAGTTATTATTATTAGTTATTGATTATTATTATTGATTATTAGTTATTATTATTACTTATTGATTACTATTATTGGTTATTGGTTACTATTACTAATTATTGATTACTATTACTATTATCAATTATTGTTATTGCTATTGATTATTGTTATCAAAGTTAATTATTATTACTATTGTTGATTATTGCTACTACTATTGGTTACTATTACTACTACAATTACTGTATTCATGGAATCTTGAT